ATAATAAGCAAACAAAACTTACAGATTATTTCTTTTAAATTACATAAATACTATAAATTACTATAAATTATATTTAAGGTTAAAAATCAAATTACATACATACAATTTAATAAAAAAAAAGTTGAAAAAAATACGTAATTCTATATTTTAACGAATTCCTCTATATAACGAATTTTTTTTGCTGCTCAATCGACTTCGTTATATGGAAGTTTCACTGTAATTTGATGTTGACTTATTTTATTTTTGGAATAAATAATAATTCAAGGTATGTAAATGTAATACACTCTGCAGCGATCACTCGTCGAACAACGTTACGTTTTTTTTTTAACTAGGTACGTAGATATCATATATTTCCACGAATGGACGTACTATAATAGTTGAAGCAAATAAAWCGAATACGGTTTGTAATTATTGAACATATTATTATGTATAAAACGATATCAATATATAATAGTATAATGAATTATTGCAATAGTAGTGCTTTATAATACAATTAGTTTGAAAATATAATAATAATAGGTAACATCATTGAATTTAATATGTATGCAATGTTCAGGTACTCAGTGGTAATATCATTCTACTCAAAAACAATATACCTACATATATATATATAATACTTTGAGGTAACCGGTAATGTTGTGACTATGTAGACGTTGACCGACGACATTCTTAGACCTAAAATTTGGGATGGTAGACTGAATCCGATTCCTACGAGCTTGCTTATCCGTATTTATATGCAGTCGGCTAGTGACATAATTATTRTAGATTTAGGGTTTTCGTAATAATGTACAGAGCGTGATAATTAAAATTGGGGACAACACAGTGCACAATCCGATTTGGTGCCCTAATCCATAATATGGCTAGAAACATTATATATTTCATTTGAAAGTACGCTCTAGAGAACTTTCGGCCTCGTTTTTTAAACTTATAAACATAAAAGAAAGGATTCAAGAGTTATGCGTCTTTGACACAACAGCTACTAGAAATAATGTATAAATTACGTATTTTAGTTGATGATGTTTCTTAGTGTATTACATTTTCGATTGATTTTATTACATTTGTATGATTCCTTAACCATTGAATTTGATTTAAACAAAAAAAAATATCATTACTTATGAATCATTTTTAAATTAACTTATTTCCATAATTATTTAAATGAGACACATTATTTGTATATTATACACGTGGAAATTGACCAGTTACATTGTTCCACGCATGCTGTGTATAGAAAAGGATTTGCTTTAAAATATTAAATCAATATTATTAATAACTAATAAGTGCTCTGCGTTATAAAAGTGATTTTAATTAATTAATTATTTTTATTTGAACAAAAACAAACTGCATAATACGGACCAACAGTTTCTCTTGTTTATACTATAAATTAAAATTGCATCATACCTTAACATGCTTTTAATAATTATTAAATAAAATAATAAGTAAATATTGCTTACTTCGTATTGTATATATTTCGTAGAATTTGAATAGTAAGAAAAAAATTGAGTTTTGTTTTGGGAGCCTGATGCCCTGATRCAAGTGCAAGTGAAGCGTTTGTAACTTGCGTCTATCTAGAAATGGTTTTATCAATATATTGTATAGGTAATCAAAAATCCAAATAACGACTGTACCAATTTTATTAGTTAATTTGTTTCACTATTTTACGTATAATTTATTAAAATATATTTCACTAGCTCACCTACATGTGATATATCTATAATACTTTTTCAATACAATAACGACATATAACTACGGATAAATGAATTAACTACGAATCTAAAATACATTGAACTCTAGTCGGACAATCATACTTTCATACTTTTTACACCAATAAAAATAAACAGTTTTTGAAAGTCTGCAAGCCGTGTATACTTATAACTTAGTCTATAAGCAATCAGACCAGTAATGAAATTTAATATAAAGTGTATATATATATACTATAACTATAGTACAGAATATTATTATTAGTTGACTCAGGTAAATACATTTACCCATAGAGTAATAAGAAAAGTTATAACCCAGGTACTTCGTGATACCCAATCCAATTATATTAATCATATTAAAAATGTATACGCGTATATTGAAAAAATAGTTTTTAAATTACAACATTTTCCGCGAAATGTTCATTATATTATAATATTCTGATAAATTAAAAATCTGTTAGAATTTAATATTATATTGCAATGTATGATGGAAATAAAACGAAAAATATGATCAGAATCTATATATATATATATATATATATTTATATATTTATAAAAAAAATATCGAATTCGGAAAATTAAATCACTCAATTTGGGTAGTGTAATCTGTTATTTATTCCGTTAACTATTATGCTTTGGAAAAAAATTATAATGTAATGCCTAACTCTTCGTCTTAATTTCTATCATTATCGAACCTAATTCAAAGCATGATAAATAATATGCTTCATACAAAYGGCAAATGAAAAATGGCAACAAAAACCAAAAATCTAACATTTCTGTCATAAATTAGTAGAGTCATGAATTTAGAAACTATTATAGGTAGGTCACTTATTTCAATTTCCATCTTGATACAACAAGAGTTTAAAAACACAAGTTGTTTATTAATTTACTGTMAAAATAGATGTTCTCATTTGAAAAAAAAAGTTTTTATTCGTACTAGACAACACTTTTATGATGGTATAAAAAAATGCGATTAAGTTTTTGAAATTATGATGGCAAAAAAATTCAAAAATCAGAATTTGAACAAATGAAGAACAAAAGAAACGTGATTGTATAAGTAATTACGTGTATACTTAAAATTCAAACATTTTGTCGGATTTTTTATTRATACGCTATCATAAATTATGAATACACATGAAATTCATTCAATCATAAAATAAAATATTGAATTTCTATATAAATCAAACCTACAACTTTAAGATTTTATAGTTAATGTAATGAAAATATCAACCAGTTCTTATGTTACTTATGTAGACTTGTTTAATAGCGCGTGTTGTTTTATAGTTTATTTATATAAAAATTAACTRTTGTAAGGTAGCTTTACCATCGAAACAGATTGAATAAAAAAAAACTTATTTAAAAAAAACTATTATAAGGAGCTAAGAACACTACATCCAAAAAAGTTGTTCCAACATAAATATTTTTTTTAAGCTTCTAATGTCATAGTRTTGTAGACTGTAAACTTTATTTTGTGAAAAAACCCAGGTGGGTTTCCTAGATCTTAGGTTACCATATATAATATATGAGWATATGACACATCATACTTACTTAATATGATTGAATATAGCGCAGGGAAAATTATTTAAGTTTTTTTAAACTATGATTAATCAACAACGACAAAATATCAGCATTGATAATATAAATGCATTGTTGTGTACATTTGTTGAACAAAGAAATTAAGAACATCAACAATTAAAATAAATTCACTTGCTAGTTTTTTTCACAGTCATGTTGTCTTAATATTAAAATTGTTAATATATCGTGTTTATTTTACTTCCATATGAGTTATTCCTAGAGATGCTCATCACATCATTTGTAAAAKATAACAATTAAATCATTTTTGATTTGGTTGATTATAACAAATATTKAAATTTATCAATTTTAAACCACGATATATAATATTATAGTGGTTTTTTTTTCACTTTTAATATATTTGATACRGGTGATGGGTGTACAGCAGTAGGTAGATACTTTGTATAAGTATTGCCGAGCAAATATCATTCTACGTTTTTGTATTCGGCTTGAAAAGAAAAAAGGTAATGGAGATATGTTCATAACGACGACAATAAATAAAATACAACTCTCTGTCGGTAAAACGAAAAATGGTAACTGAAAAAACATAATTATTTCATGCGTGTAAGTAGGTACTTACTTCATTGCCATTTCGCACGGTATCGTTCGTCGTCATAATATTTTATTTCACGTTTCATGTTCAATGATATGACATGATTTGGGATGGATACCGAAAGGTCACGTCATTATCGTGAAACATAATTATATTATTATTACTATTAAATATTGTAWCGTATTTACACACCACTGTATAATATTACGTTGAGCTCGCAGTTGGTTGGTAGTTTTCCGATTATTATAGGTTTTCTGCGTTTTACGGACGCGACACTGTCGATCGGAARCAACTGATAAATCATACTGATAAAACACTCAATTGTCTCTGTGATGGCATAATATCATAACAATTGCTTGAAATGTTACATTGCRCGTAGGTATATATTATAATTACATAGGTATGGGAATCGTTGTTGGTTTAGGTTGGATTACATGTATATCGTATATGTAYATCATAACAATATAACTGAAAACATTAGTATTTTTTGAATTACAATTTACAGTTTATTAGCTTTTGCGTCGAAGCAACACAACCATTACCATTATCATGTGTTATACAAATAATTATATAGTATAGGTATGTATAGGTACATGACACGCGAAATAGTGCCCAAATCGTCGAGTAAAATAGCTATAGTACAATAACATTGTTTTGTGCGCGTCGACGATCAATGTAATAATAATTTCTATTATTTTTTTTTCGTGTACATAATATTATTATTTTGACGATTATGATTATTTTACAATAACCACCTGTATAAAAAAAATTATATTTAAGGCGGGGAGAGGCAGGCAATAACAGTTGTACACACTTATTAAGTTGAACTGGTGTATACACACGCCAGTTACGTAATATTTTACATAATAATATTATTATAATTTCGTGTTTTAATGTATTCGGTATAGTTTCCGCCTGTGTGATTGTTTTAGCATTATTCACCGTCGCGATTCGCACAGGTTAATAATAGTAATAATAATAATAATAATAATAATAATAATAATATATTATATTATATTATTATTATGGCGGTAAAATATTATTACAAACTATTCTCTAAATATATTATATATATCGTACAACATAGATCGTAAATAGTAAATCAATTTACATAATAATATAATATCGTAGCGTAGCAATAATAATAATAATAATAATAATAATTGTTATACGTTTGTATAATAATAATAATATTTACATTAATATTTACGAACGATGATAAAATAACAATACAAAATATATATTGTACGGTATTTAGACAACAACGACGACATGTCGATGACGATGATAATGATAATAATAATAATAATAATAATAATAATAATAATAACATACTTTACGAACACAATTCGATAACCCCCAACCCCCCATTGCTGTTGTCAACGCCAGACGAGTCGTCGTGCACGATAATACTATTGATATTATTATATTATATATAAATAGGTGACTAACAGGTAACTAACGATAAGTATTACTAAATATTATGAAGGTATGATAATATTATAACATTGTTGTTATGGTTTGCGGTATGTACTTTTGTTCGGTTCTAGACCATTACCGTTTGTTGTTCGGTGTCGAGGAAACCGTCGTTGACAATGTACTGTTCCGGTCGAACCATTGGAAGCCGGACGTACGCAAGATGACAACGGTTCCGCCGCAAGCCATATTATATCAAAAACCGCCGGTGAAAACTAGAATGTTAAAAAATAATAATAAGAAGAAATAAAAATAAAACAATTAAATCATTAAATTGAACTATACTTTTCTTGCAAACATTTTTTAACACAAACATTAGAATATAACTCTATGTAGGTGAATTTTATTGCGAGGATATTATAATTGTATATTTATAAAAATGTAGATAATAATTTTCTGCTGAATCAACTGAATGGCTATTTGTTGGTTTTTACTTTGTCGAAGAGGGTATTGTTGATTCGAAATATGTGTATAATGGACGAAGATTATAATGTTATATTGTGTACTATAAATGTACATGATAATATATAGGCYGTATAGGATATTAAGAAACTAGGTTGGTCGGTCTTAGATTTTTTCTATACTTAATATTTAYATATATTTTGTATTTTACACGATTAAAATAACTTGTACCTATGATGCAGTAGCCTCAGTATATGATACCTATTACCTAAATAATAGGCATATTATAATACTCATAAGTCATTTATTTTGATATGATAAATATATACATAACATATATCACGAAACCAAGTTATGTGACTTGACTTGTCGAATTGTCAAAAATTAAAGTTTACGAAACATTTATGTCAAAGGTACTGAAAACAATGATTATATTAATAATAATAACAACAACAATAATAAGTAGGTACTGTTTTACTCCATCTATCTAAAACATGCACGCGTTTACATCGAACCCGAGGTATACCGAATCATATRTGAATGATACAATATTGTTATTGTTATTATTCGGATAAAGTATATATGTTCATAGCAAATAATACAAATAGCCAATATTATAATATACCGCATAAACGGTATACCTAAGTTGGCTAAGTTTACATATATTATTGGTCCTCGTTATGGTAGTGTACACAATTTTATAATTATTATCGTAGTGGGATTGCATTAGCAATATCACCGCTATTGCTGTGCATCAAACTATTATGCACTTACAAGTGCGACAGAGCAAATGGAAGGATGGAACCATTTTTTTTTTTGAAATTAATTCTTGGCCTGGTGATATGATAATATCGGTGATCGTAAGTTACACCAATTTGTTGTGGTCTATTGGAATTGTAATAAATATTATATTTTTCACAGAACGGTTTATCACAAATTAAAAAGGTAGRTACTAGCTGTTTACACAACCCGTTTACATATTTCGCACACAAAAGTCAACACTTAAAAATCATACAATATAAATATATTACATAACATAGTAAAAGTAATATTATTCATATTATTCAAATTATTAAAAACAAATTTAATTTCATATTATTTATCTTATTTGTCGGGTGATGTTTGCATTTTTAAATTGTCAAATGATTTTACTCGTGATATAGCAATATAAAACTTATTATGGAGGGAAGTGGCTGAATAGCAACAAAAATGATATTTGGTGATTAAAATAAAAATATAGGTAACGAATTGTATTAAAAGTTTTGTTCGGTAGAGAGAATTTGAAACAAAAACCCCTCGARAAATGGCCGTAGCATGACTGAATACAGGTTGGGGTAGATCGTATAATATTATACGACCTTACTATTTCTCTATACATCTCACTAATCACTTATTAAACTTACCATACATTAAGTKGAATACCTCAATGATTTTCTTGCATGCCAAATAATGTGAATGACACAAATAAGTTAAAAATAATGTCATCTACTGGCTACTTGTTATATGGGGATTAATAAATTAAAATTATATATTAAATACTTAAAATACCCTAAGTTAAAATTAATAACGAATAATATAAAATATTAAAAATAATACAATATATGAACACCACCCCTTTATTTTCGACGTCAAACACATTTGTTACACATATTATAATAATAATATGTAGGAKTGGTATATAGTTATTGTAGCGTTTTCGCATAGTTRAAWCYAYTAAGTTGAATTGATTGGTTTAAAAAATTCAGAAAACCCGTAAAAACATTCACCTGTACGCCACTTAATCGGTCTTTACGGTTTTCTGTTTAACAACTTGACTTTTTCCAACTCGACCACCAATTATTTATACGATCGGGACCATACACGTAGCGAGTATGGACAATACAAGAAATTTTTATATTTAAATATTATATTGATATTTTCCTTTCGGAATTTTGAGCGATTGAATATTTTTACTTTAAAATTCAAAAACCCTGTAACACAAGAATCCTAGCGTTCTAATATTCGATAGTAGGTATTTCAAAACCATTGTTCTAGTGACAAAATTATCGTATTCACCGCGAAAAAACGACGAACATAATATACAATATAGTTTACCGATGTTATATCTGGTACAACGAATCCGATGTCCAATCGTTGGCTGAAACAAAAAAAAAAGAAAAACGATGCCGATATGATGATTTAAAAATAATAATAATAAATAAAGAGTGAAGAAGAAATGAGAAGAGGGAGGAGAAGAAGCGACAGCAAATATTCGAGTGGTGCATAATTTCCACTACGCAACTTTGTAGGTACATGTCTACACTATCTTTTTTTACAAAACGCCAATAATAATATTTCTCAAGGCGTCAAGAAATTTGCAGCGACTATACATGCACTGGAAGTGTATATGAACGCTGAATAAATTGAATAAAGTCAATTTTATTTACTTTTATTTTTTATTTGTTTTTTTTTTTGGTATTATTATTATTATTATTCCGGAACGTGAGAAGCGTTGACAACACAGAGTAGATTAAACAACTGCAAACGTATGGCCAGCGGGAAGGATGGAGAGCGACTGTGGGAGACGGAAGAGACTAAATAAAATAGAGGAAAAAACGAGAAAAAGAAAAGTTAACGACCGCGATGGGACAAAGTTCTGCCGGGCAATATTTGTATTCAAAGAATTTTTCAACCTTTGAATTTTTTATGAGCGAGTGGCAAAAAAAGTTTGTACAACACGCGCCCCAGAGTATAAAAAATATAAAATTCATCTATTTTTGCTAATTTTTTTAACGTTCGACAACAAAGCGAATCACGTGATAATTAATACTATATTGGTGCAGTCGTTTCGATAACGGAATTAAATTCGCACGATTTATAAGCTCTGCGGAAAGTACTCATTACTAAAATTACTAAATAAATAAAAACGATGAAAAATATGACATAATAATTATATAATACAGAAGATCACCCGTATTTAAACGTATGCTTGTCTCCTTAAAATGAAATTTTTAAAATTTGTTTTATTGCATATTGCAATGACTAATTAGGATATATTATATTTTACTGTATGCGTGAATTAAAAAATTGGATTTGTGAACAAAATTCAATTTGAGACTTTAGTAGTGCAAATASATACTAAAATGTTGCAACACGAATTTTCAGTATGCCAATGTGGTTGAATATGAAAACGTACTTAAATATTTGCGAATAATGTTATCGAAAATATCAGTGCGCGCGCGTAATGTATATTATTTGTAATTTTTACAGATAAGAGTAAACTTCTCAGCYACAAAAATGCTATAAATAATATGTTTTTTTTAAATATAAGATATCGTCGTGACGTAATCGACTCGATGATTTGTCTACTTTTAGTTCTTTCGAGCGTCGTCCATCACGTAGATAATAATATTGTAGGTAGTCTAGTTGAAAAGTCGAAATTTTAAAATTTAGAGAGGAAAGTTCGAATAGGTATTATAGTCTGACGGCACTGATTTGCAAGTTTACACACGATCGCTTGTATGTCGAAAGTCGAAAGCCGTCCKATGTGAATTTTAAAGGGTTAAAAACTGCGGGCGCCTTTCGTTGAGTGAAGACTATAAAGGGATGCGGTTGAGGATGAGTGATAGTGAGTACCTCTCATCTCTGGCGCAGGCCTCGTCGATTTGTGATTTMAAAAGCCAAAACGTATAATAAATCTCGCCGGTGTGGCTTAAGTCAAAACTTTGGTCTTTCCATAGCTGCGGCATTGTACAATAATAATAATAATAACAATGAACGGCGTATACGCACCTCTATACATTATAATATAATAACATATACGTCGTCTAAAAAGTAATTCCGGGTACAACATATTATGTAGGTATCTCAGATTGTGGGCGGGCGGAAGAATTGATACAATTTACTCTCAGGTATCACTTTGTGACGGATGGGACGACGGGGCGTGTACGCGACCGTGTCTCACTAAGTCCGGCTTAGTCGGGACAAGTTTAGTTTGATAATAATTTACACGGTCTCGCATATCGAAATAATATCGGTGTTTGTGTTTGAGCCTGCCGGACGCAAGTTTAATCGTGGGGCGAGGGGGCTGGGGGAGATACCTATCCGTATACTGGGTTTCCATTACCCACATATATATTTATAAATATATCATAAACTATTATACCTATATGGCTATATGCACGGATCGCTGCGTAAATTATATTATTATTTTATGTATTTCATAGGGCGCATGTATATTCCCCCGAAAGTGGTAAATTCCGCTCGAAATAAACTGCAGGTAAAAAAAAGAGTAATATAAATTCCATCTGTAAAAAATTACACAAAGTAGGTACCTAGTTTTTTATAGGTAATAAAATAAGTAATAACATTAGGTATAGATTAATCATTATAATAGTATTTAAATAAATATAATATATTTGATATATATTCAATAATTGTTACTACATAAATCGTATAAAATACATAAAAACTTTTATATTTATTCACTAAGAAACCAAAGGTTTATTTATACCCAAAATTTTAAATTTTCCTAAAATACTACAAGTTTATTTCCATAACTTGAGCTATTATGGGTGGGTGTATGTGCGTATAGGACGTGTAATWCTAAACATAAACACACAATATTCTAAACGAAAATAAAGTGATCTAAACAATTTATTATATTTCCATATGTCCAATTATTAGATCCACAGTATTCCAATACAAACTGATAAGATATATGATATGATTGTCGACTACTCGTATGATACGATTGTCCCATGTTTGAACATTTTGTAACTTCAAAATACTATAACACGCCGCGTCGTTGAGTCACGGAACGTTTAGTTTAAAAAATGTTTATTTTTTCCGGGCGGAATTTACAAATCCATTTTTTTACCTGTTCACTTCGGGCGGGATTTATAATCTCCCATTTTATATAGCCTACCTTGTATAATAATATAGGTGAGCTTGTACCGTTTCTGCCAAAATTTGAAGCGACCGATTTCATCATCGCCCGTTTCTGCCACTTTAAAAAAAGGTTCGATTCCTATTTCCCCCGTCTACCTACTATAGTATAATTTATTATATATTAATATTCATATTAATTGCAGTACTATTCCTATTGTTTTAAGATACACCACCTAAGTTTTAACTTGAAATAATTGTACATGGTTTATATGATAACGTTAAATATTGAAAAATAAATTTATAACTAATAATATTAAAGTAMAATTTGCTGTTTTATAAATAAGTACAGTAGTTTTATGGAGTACAAAATGTTCTTATCTGTACTGTTGTTTCAATCTTATTGATTTATATACATTTATTCCATATTTAAGTTATATATATATATATATATTATTCAATATGTATAAAACACCTAATATTTATTGTATGTATGTGTACATTTAAAATTGACATTATCGTAGATTAATGTGTACAACTACCACATGTCACTCGTTTGTATCTAACATTGCCTTATGTAATACCGCATCATGTGWACGTAATTTCAGTGAACTCAAATTAATTAAAACATTTTTACCATCCACGATGAACCAAAACACTTAAGATTTATGAACTATGAAGATTTCCCTTTTCTATCAAAAATATGGAATATATTATAATAATTATTCCATAGCAGGTAGATTGGTGGAAATGGRAATCGGACCTTTTTTTAAATTTGCGGAAACAGGCGATGGTGAAACCGATCATTTCAAATTTTGGCGGAAACGGGTAATTCCCATAAAACGGTCGCCAACCGCGGTTATGTAGCCGTAAACCCAATAAATGTCGCTTTTCAAAGGTGTAATTCCGGGGAAATAATTGAACAAAACCACGGCATACTTAACCAGCGATATCGATGGGTCCTCGTTGCCTATCCGCACGAATAAATTGTCATTAAACACGTTCGATAATAACACTTAACTGCGTGCAGCTTTGGGTACGTAAATACGGCGGCGCTTATACGTAATAATTATAATCGCATTGCTCTTCGTGAAATTACGTCAATTACGGTAATAACCCATAGGAATTATGGTAAAATTTTCTTCCGGGAAATGAGGAAACAAAACTACAGCGGTAGTGCAGCAACGTATAGATTTATGTGAATAATAATAATAATTACATCTCCGAAAATCACAGGTGCGATTTCATACGCTAATTTTATTGTTWTGTAGTATATAATATATTATAGCGGAGAATACGATTACAATTATTTTCGGTGATTGATGACATCCATGGCATCCACAACTTCGAATTTTGAACCAAAGGCTTTCGTTTGTGCTACGAGTTACGACCCCTAATGAGCTACAACTACCAAGTGGATGAGTATTGCCAAGTATCAATTACTTAAAACTAWTATCAATTTATTTCAAAAAAATTAGATATTTTGGAAATTTTTTTTTAATTTCTAAATATTTAATATTTTTTCTCATGGAATCTGGGCACTTCTTCGTTATTAAGTTATAAAAGTACTTGATACTATAGTATACTTGCAAAGTTGTTTTCCTAGCTACACAGCCAAAAATTTAATGTAGTTCGTTACTAATATGAATCATTTGAGGTTGCGGCAAAAATAATGAAACTCGATCAAAAAGCAATACAAAAATAGCACAAGCCAAAGCCCCCGGTTTGAATACAAATATTGGAGTTGTTGGTGCCGAAAAAATTCATCTCTAGTTGTGTTCATTTTAATTAATCAAACAGTAAAACGTTACGAAGATGTTCGTGTAGCATAATGTGTGCATTATCATGATGAACTGTAACGTAAGATAGGACAAGCTTTGAGCAGAAATCATGTTTCTTAGTTTCGTTTGTAGCCTACTGTTGTGGTAGATGGGCGAACGGAAAATACCGTAGAAGTAAAACGAGTTTGCGGAGAGACGAAAATATAAAACATTAAAATTACACAGTTAGAAAAAAAAAACATACGAAGCTAACAGTAATAATATAAGTAACATATTAATATCGTCGCGTTATGACAAGTGACACTCGAGGGTTGACGAACAAGAAAATTGTTGAATAAAAAAAAAACCCGTTTGTAACTCAAAAGCGTACTAATAGATTTTCATAATAATAATAATATTATGACATTGCGCGGTAGTCTTACAAAATAATAATATAATATCATCATCGTATATTTGTATATTATATTATGTTCAAAACGAATTTATGTCCACTCACCTTTGTAGTACATGTTTTTGTGCATGTTCAGCTTGCAAGTCTTACCCTGAAACAATGYAAAATTCTGTTAAAAAACATAAACTGTAAAGATCACCACAATAACATTAAAAAAACATTTATATTACAATGGTAGTATTATACCAATATAGCAGCAACTACGGTGAGTTGGCCTACGCTCCGTGTACCGGGAAAAATGTATACAGTAACTTTACATAGAAATTACCTTTGAATTCACATATCCATGATACACTCATTTTAATTTGAGTTTATATATAATATGGCGTATACAACAAATAGTTGGAGGATTCAAATCGCACTCTTACGTTTATTATAATTTACACATTTTTTTGTGGAGTWTGACTTTTCTATAATATCAACAAGCCTATAACTGCTACTATTTAATTTYAAGTTGGAACGAAAGATGTGATAAGCAATATCACAGCCCGCAGGCACTGCAGTTGGCCAGCATCTTATGAATTTAAATCGACTTGAAACTAATTTTTAGAATTGCTTTTYATGATGATGAAACTGATTTTATTCCAAGAACTACTCAAACAATAATTTATACTTTTGGCCAGATCCAAATATTGTATTGTTACAAAGCCTATACAATAATCATTATAATATCAGTTCATACGCGCTTCAAACGAATTCATCGTCATCGGAAGTTTAGCTTCCGCGGAACAGTATCAAAACAAATTGTACTCGTTGATAACATTGATGTAAGTATTGTATGATATATTAGCATACTTTTTTTTTCTTGTTAACCCG